GATAATGATAAGAGGGATCTGGGCATGTTTGATGCTGAAATCGCCCAACTGTTAAACTTAGATAAGATGAAGAATTTCATGGATTTGTGGAAGAGGAATGAAGTGAAAAATTGAGTGTATTGTTTTGTATTTTATGTGTTACAACTGAACAATGTTGAGAGTTCCTGTGAATCGGGCTGAGTATCATTCAGAAGTTGTGGATACGATACATATCTTGATACAGTGAGCTTATGGCTACGTTCAGACTGCAGGGCTTAAAGCTCAATTCCGATTTTTTTGTGAAATCCGATGTTTTTGCGAGGTCGTTCACATTTCCAATTAAATGTGACTTGTATGTGATCCCTGTGTGAACGTTAAACGGCCCGAAAGTGTCCCGCATGTGACACTGGAGACACGATGACGTCAACCGCAGCGAGCGTGCTCTGTGTTTACGGAAGTTGTCCAAACATGGACGCAGCATTGAAGCACCTGGAGATTTTAAAGTTCCTCTCATACCGGAGCCAGAACATGAACAACTTACTTGTTTTAAGGAGGAGATTGAGAAGGAGAAGGACGAGGTTTTTGGTCGTGGTGTTTTTTGTGGGGCAGCGGCAGCGACGTCTGTTGAAAGGAACGTGTGGATGTGGAGACGGAGCCAAGAGTGGTGAGTGGTGATGTGCTTCACTTCAGTGACACGGAGTTCATTAACAATTTTCGCCTACTTCAGCGCAGAATAGTGACGTTTGTGGCTTGTTCATAACGTGTAGGTGGATGAATGCACTTTGGCCGTTCACACTGAAGTCGCATGTCAAAAGATCAGATATGTATCAGTTTCAGGAGCACATATCCAAGTGTCCTGGGTCACATTTGAAAAAATCAGATGTGTATGGTTCAGACTGTCATTAAAAGATCAGATACAGGAACATAGAAGCCAAAAAATCGGATTTGGGTCACTTCAGGCTGCAGTCTGAACGTAGCCTTAGATTCAATACGATATATTCCAAATCGATTTGATACAGTTCAGTAAAAAAATATAGGCTAAATCATGGCAGTGATACTAAAAGTGTTTGTTAAACCACTTCTTGTGCAAAGTTCATATGAAACAAACATTTTAATCATCAAAACAGTGAAAATGTCAGTGTCATGTGTTGCATAAACGAGTTTCCTTCCTCTGAACAAGCAACAAAACTGTAGCACTATAACAAAATAATTTAGGAAAATATACCAAAAAATACTCTTGACACAGCAGCCCACAATATCGATACTGTATCATCTATCACGATATGATATATTGATATTTCAATATTTTTGCACTCGCCTAATTGTGAATGAGTTGAGTAAAGTTTGACTTACCTGTTTTATTTCACTTTATCCGCCTTATACTCTGGTGCTACTTATAGTCCAAAAAACACAGTAACATGCCTTTATTTTAGTAAATTTTATGTGATGTAATATTGTTTTTATACATCAGAGGAAACTGAAATCTAAACTGCTAAACTAATCCAACAACCCCATGCATGTAAAGGTTCACTGTGTAACTTTCCTAGCAGATCATCCATTACCTGGTTGGATATCATTGTTTTGCCGGAAATGTTTCCCAGTATGGCATTAACCAAGATAATAATTGTTGTAACCACTCTAGATAATTAAGTATAATTCAGTCCATTTAACGTCATGGGGAGAGTATTTTTTCCTCGGCCCTGTGCTCAGACCACCTCCTCATTTTAAGAGCGTAATGACTCCATAGGTGATTAGAGTCAAAAGTACGACCCTCTGAGGTGCACTTAAAGCAGCGGGAGGTGAAGGGGGAAGCAGGTGAGGCATTCAGGGACCTGCGTCAGCCTGGGTTTAGCCTTTCAACGTGTGGGTTTTTTCTTTATCTAATGTACTGTATACTCACTGTCTCTGTGTACTATACAGATCTCTCCTGGGACCTATTCAAACCCTTTTTACGATCAGTAGTACTATTCTGTCCAAGGCTCCGCCCACAAGCCCACGTCACCGGGAACACATTTTTACATTGTGCATTTGAAATAAATAAATGAATGAATAAATAAATAAATAAGGAAATAAATAAATTCATTAAATAAATAAAATAAAATAAATAAATACATAAATAAATAAAATAAAATAAATAAATTGTTTAAAAAAAATAAAAAAAAAAAAATCACAAAAGCCTCTAATGGTAGTATTGTATACTGGTTACATTGTATATTTGAAGTAAATAAATAAATAAATAAAACAAATAAAATAAAGTAAATAAATAAACTGTTAAAAAAAATTTAATAAAAAAATCACAAATGCCTCTAATGGTAACATTGTATACTGGTTACATTGTATATTTGAAGTAAATAAATAAAATAAAATAAAATAAATAACCGTAAAAAAAAACCCAAAAAAAAAACATAAATAACATATTTTGCTGGACAATTAACTGACCAAGAAATGATTGCGATAAACAAAAATATTGACATTTTGAGACCAATTTCGACTAATATAATGACAATGGAATAAAAATGCAAATGCACCCTTTCAAAGATCAATAAACTAGGCTTTCTAAAGAACATTTAACACAGGAACAGCAAGACAATCAAAAACAATAGGCCTAAATCAAATCTGATATGAACCTATTTTATATATGATCCTAAAATATGATCCTATATTATGTCCATCAAAAAAATCCTATTCCTCACATAGAACCTGGCTCCAAATTCACCCCGTGACCGTTCATCCTCACACTTGCTTAGGTCACTTTTGTATACAGTCTATGCAGTTAAGTCGCCTGATTGACATTTTCGTTTAAACGTCATTATGCTAAGAAAACGAGGAGTCAGTAAAGCGATAGAAGCCTTTTGACATTCAGCCTCTTTGGTAGAGAAAGAGACAAAGAAAACAAACAAGCACGCAAACAGAAATGATCGCAGCCAGAAAAGCTATTGAGCTCGTTAAAAATTATCGTATGATTAATTGATTTATTGATTATTGTTACAGGATTACTCCAACACAACAGTTCTCCATAAACACACAAAAAACAGGACGCAAAACAACGCACTACAGCTTCACAAACCTGATGTGATGATCAGTAGTTTCATTAGCAAGATGCACGCTGATTTTGTGTTGTGTGTGATAGTGCTCTGAAGGGGGGTGAGTTCGCATAGGGAGCAAAGGGAAGGGGGACTTAAGAATTGAATATGTTGTTTTCAGTGAATATTGCATTTTGAACACAATAAAAGGTAACATGGTGATCGAAATCTGTCATGTGTTAGAGTTAAAACCACATACAAGTCAAATACACAAACACTCTTTAAATCAAACACTGGAGAGTACTGATACTTTTGAGCTGATAACTGTAGGCACTAGGGACGCAACGATACAGTTTTCCCACGATTCGATACGTATCTCGATACATGGGTCACGATATCGATTCGATTCGTACGTTTTAAGACACAAAAAAATATTGATATGATAATGAAACATTACAGACTATACATTACAGTACAACTACTGTAAAGTTAAAGTTTATATGTGAATTTGTTTTCAGTGAAAATAAGACCAGAGTTTCTCAGGTTGTTTTATATTTTACAATATAGTCAGTCTACTTTTAATATCTTTGTCATTTCTGGGTCTATCAACATAAAATGACTAAAAGTGAGTAAAAGATAAAACCCTCCTCTGTTTGAATATTTCAGCTGTGACGGCCTGTTTACACGAGAACACTTGCGGGTAAAAACGACTAAATATTTTATGGGAAGTGTCTTTCGTTTAGACCAGGAGTGTCAAACTCAAATTCACCAAAATTAAAAACTGGGAATGAGTCGTGGGCCAAACTAAATATTTATTGAAAAATTTCAACAACATCTGCATGTTTTCTCTTCTTTCGAGACCTGTAATGTTAAACCTTTTCTTATTAAAATATTTTTTTAATAATAGTTTTACTTAAACATTGAATCCAGAGCAAGTATAATATAAAATAATAACAATATTTTAAATAAATAATGTCTCTATAGTCTATCTGTAGCCAGCAGGCAGCTCGAATACAGATTTGATATGATCTTGTGGGCCAAATATTATTATAACGCAGGTCAAATTTGGCCCCCGGGCCTGAGTTTGACATGTCTGGTTTAGACGGTGATGGCGTTTTGGGGGCTTAAAAATGAAAAAAATCTGAACCCACCCTCCAGAATGGAAAAGTTGAATCTGTTCCGCCATAGCGTTTCTGTCTACACTGCCCAAGACGCAAAACTCTGGTCAGATCTGCTCAGGTCACGTACACATTTACATCACATACATAAGGTGCACAGGTAACATGTCGTCTGGCATGCATACCCAATCCAGTTCCACACACTTCTGCGTCACCGTATGCACGCAGATTTCTTCCTGAAAACTCTCATCTAAAAGCGGAAAAAAAAGTCTCCACGGAGCTGTTTTCTTGTTTCATCTGAGGAGGACGCTGTGATAACTGTTTCCCTTTCGGACTAAAATAAATGACAACACAGCGCGCATGGAAGGACACGTGCCTATCGATGGAACACGTGTATCGAATCGTGAGACCAGTATCGAACGGTTCGAACACTGTTATATCGAATATCATTGCATCCCTAGTAACCACTGCTCTATGTGAGGTTTGTTACACTTTAACCAGAGCTTTATTTGAACACAATCTGACCAGGAAAAAAAAACTGATTTACCTGATCTGTGCTGTTAAACAAGTCTCTCTCAAATAACATTCCAGTCATAAGGTAGTCTAACAGTTTTTCAGTTAGTCCCTCTCTCCTTTTTGTGTCAAATGAAACTCCTAAAAACGACTATGAACACTCAGTTTGATCATAGGTTCCTCAAAATGTGCTTTTTAAATTCATTTTGTTTAGTTTTTCTTGAGTTTCAAACTATTTTTAAACTTTTTTCTGGCAGAGTTTGCTTATCTGTGCTTTGTGTCACCATGGTAACTGCTGAACACGTACATGTACAACCCCCCCAGTGTGGTGTCAGTGCAACAGTGTGGGTCGGACAGCGGCTCTTACCTGGAGGGGGGCTGTGGATGCAGGTCTGGCCGCCCATGTGCACGGAGGTGGTGGCGCGGCTGCTCAGGTCCACCACGGAGGGGGTGTGGGGGGCGTGGGGGGTGAGCGGGGTGTGGGGGTGAGCGGGGCGTGCGGGGTGAGGGGCGTGTGCGGCGGCGGAGGGGGCGGGGCCTGTGACTGCGGCGCGGCGGCGGTCTGCTCGCTCCGGTCCGTGTTGGCCGGGATGCCGTTCTCGGACAGGAACTCCTCCAGGTCCATGTACTCCAGCTGGAAGTTGTCTCCGTCGTACGGCAGGGTCTTGTCCCAGAGGGTGGGGCCCAGGAAGGCGGACTGAGGGTGACTGGCCACGTTGCTCTCATCCTCCAGCTTCTTCTCCTTCTCTTTGTCCTTCCCAAAACCTGAACACAGAAGAAAATACAATACATATGTTTAAAGATCACATATTACAACCAAAATATTGTGATATCGTATCGTCAAAGTTCTCACAACAGCATCATGGACCATCACAATACATCGCCTCACAGGTCTCTTTGTTTAAATTAAAAGTTATGGTGCAGCAACAGCTAAAAAACACAGAGGGAACTACATAGACCATGATCCTTTGCTCCATTTCAATGCAGACTACAAGAAGAAATAACAGTTCTAACACTTTTAAGTATTAGTTCTTTGTCAAGTCATTTAAGAGGAAAAAGTTACATCTCTATAAATATCGTACCGTGAGGTTCATACTGTGACGATATCGTATCGTGAGACTTGAATATTGTTACACTCCTACAGATTACTACACAAAATTGATTCTTGTGAGGTTTAAGTCATGTTAGAATGCTATTTCCTCCTCATAAACAAACCTGGAGTTGTGTTTTGTTTCATTCACATGTTTGTCTCCATATCGGTCTGATTGGCCCATTTTGCCGATCATTGATGGATCAGTTTGAGGAGCAATTTTATCTTAAATTATCAACAAAACTATTTCGGTATTGGTTCAACTTCAAATCATCATAATCTTATATTCTTATGTTTTTATGTTATATAGGCCACGATACGATACATATAGTAAGTCTTTATTTATATAGTGTTTTTCACAGACATATGTCACAAAGACGTTTTACAGAGCATTTATAGATTCATCATTCTTTTTCTCCAGACCAGGTGATGGTAAAACTACTGTTGTAGCCACAGCTGCCCTGGGGCAGACTAACGGAAGTGCGGCTGCCATGCCAATCGGCGCCATCAGTCCCTCTGACCACCACCATCACTCACACACACACACCACTTTCATACTAGGCAACGTGGGTGAAGTGTCTTGCCTAAGGACACAACAACAGTTTTTGCCACTGGCGCCCCCCTGTGGCTCCTGATTTTCCCAGTGTCTCCCATCCAAGTACTAACCAGACCCGGCCCTGCTGAGCTTCTGAGGTCTGATGGGATCAGGCTTTGTCAAGCCGGTATGGCCACATACATATCTCCATACATAGGCCATGATACGATACCAATCTCCATACATAGGCCATGATACGATACCTATCTCCATACATAGGCCACGATACGATACCTATACATCCGATACATATAGATACATGCCATGATACGATACCTATCTCCATACATAGGCCACGATACGATACCTATCTCGATACATAGGCCACGATACGATATATCTCCATACATAGGCCATGATACGATACCTATCTCCATACATAGGCCATGATACGATACCTATCTCCATACATAGGCCATGATACGATACCTATCTCGATACATAGGCCATGATACGATACCTATCTCGATACATAGGCCATGATACGATACCTATCTCCATACAGTGCGATATATTTCAAATCAATTTGATACAGTTCAATAAAAAACAAAGACTAAATCATGTCTGTGATACTAAAAGTCTTTGTTAAACCACTTCTTGTATACAGCAGCCCACAATATCAATACTGTATCATCACATTAATGATACAATATATGGATATTTCAATATTTTTTGCACACCCCTAGTGATTAGCCTAAAAACTCCTGTTCCACCTTGTGATGTCATGAAGTGGTAGTTTTCAGGTTAACAGCTCCTCTTTTACATTTAGTTCAGTAGAGATTGGCATTTCCAGGATTGAAATGATCCAAATGGCTCTTGTGAAGATGTGTGGAGAACAGAGAGAAGAACTTAAATCTGCAGGGTTTATGTGAACTCCAGGTCTGTTTGTGACGAGGAAAACATTAGAAACTAGATCAGAAAATGTATAGCATAATATGAGCTCTTTACATGAAAACTTCAAACTTTTCACACCAAATTCAACTTTTTGCTTTCACTTTCACTTTGTTTTTGTTCATATTCTCCCTCTCCATTTTCTGATGACCATAACTCGAGTCTGTTTGATTTGATACGGGACACGATGCAGGACTCACTTCTAATATTGATATAAAAACAAATGGTGATACTGCAAACTTCTTTTCTGTTTTGGAAATACAATTATTGAAGTTACATAAGTTATATAATTATTGAAATTATTATCACTAAATACTTGAACTGGAAATACTTGCAAGAGCCTGCAGAACGTGCTCTCTACTTCTCCAGTGAAGCTGCGTGTTTCTGTTTGAGTAATATTCACAAATCTATAATAATATTGTGTCATCAACGCGAGATTTACATGTAAAGAAAAGTCTTTTATTTACACAGAGTTGAGTTCATAAAAGAAGATTTATTATAGAACATTAAATAACACAGATACCTGCAGCGTAAAGGAGTGTTCACACCAAGACTAAACCAAGACTAGACCAAGACTAGACCAAGACTAGACCAAGACTAGACCAGGACTAGACCAAGACTAAGACCAAGACTAGACCAAGACTAGACCAAGACTAGACCAAGACTAGACCAAGACTAGACCAAGACTAGACCAAGACTAGACCAAGACTAGACCAAGACTAGACCAGGACTAGACCAGGACTAAGCCAGGACTAAGCCAGGACTAACCAGGAATAAACCAGGAATAAACCAGGACTAGACCAGGACTAGACCAGGACTAAACCTGGACTAAACAAAGACTAAGCCAGGACTATTCCAGGACTAAACCAGGACCAGACCAGGACTATAAGAGGACTAGACCAGGACTAGACCGGAACCATAAGAAGACTAGACCAGGACTAGACCGGGACTAGACCGGAACCTTAAGAGGACTAGACCAGGACTAGACCGGGACTAGACCGGGACTAGACCAGGACTAGACCAGACTAGACCGGGACTAGAAAAGGACTAAACCGGGACCAGACTGGGACTATAAGAACACTAGACCAGGACTGAACCGGGATTATACCAGGACTATAAGAAGACTAGACCAGGACTAGACCGGGACTAAATCAGGACTAGACTGGGTCTAAACGAGGACTAAACCAGGATCAGACCAGGACTATAACAAGACTAAACCACGACTAAACCGGGACTAAACCAGGACTAAACCAGGTCTATAAAAGGACTAAACCAGGACCAGACTGGGACTATAAGAGGACTAGACACATTAGAACAGAACTCGCCTCAAACAGGACCAAATCAGTACAAGTGAATCCAAAAATCATTCGGACATATTTTGTTTTGTTTTGTTTAATCCGCAGACACACATCAGATGTGGCCCTAAACCACATTTCCCATGATCCTTTGCTGCGGGAGGTGGGACTTTGGCTCTGGGTTTGTTTACATCCAGAAGGCGTTTCTATGAATGAGCCCGGCGTCTTGGGAATTGAACCGGCAACCTGTGTCCTGGCAGCTTCCCCAGCAGCTCCACATACCACAGGCTAAATATAGAAGAGGTCAAGATGAAACGAAGCACACAAATCTGCTCCCAAAGAAAAGAAGAGAAGAGACCAGAGCGACGGAAAAACGACGGACTACTGAGCCAAGACCAAACCAGGACTGAACCAGGACCGAACCAGGACCAAACCAGGACTGAACCAGGACTAAAACAGGACTAAAACAGGACTGAGCCAGGACTGAACCAGATCAAAACCAGGACAAAACCAGTACTAAACCAGATCAAAACCAAGACTAAACCAAGAACCAAGACTCAACGAGTACTCAACCAAGACTAAACTATAAGTAAACCAGATCTAAATCAGGACAAATCCAAGACTAAACCAGGATTAAACCAAGACTAAACCAAAACTAAACCACAACTAAACCAAGACAAACCCAGAATGAAACCAGGATTAAACCAAGACAAAACTATAAGTAAACCAGGTCTAAACAAGGACTAAACCAAGACTAAACTACAAGTAAAACAAGACTAAACCAGGACCAAACCAGGATTAAATCATCAGTAATCCAGAACTGAACCAAGACCAAACCAGGATTAAAGTAAGTCTAAAACAGATCTAAGCAGGTCTATTTTTAACAAAAATGGAAGGGACTTGGACTTGGACTGGAGTTTATAGGTCTAAAATCAAGTGTCCAGTGTTCCGTAAAAGAAACCAGGACTAGGACTAAACCAGGTCTAAATCAGGTCCGAACCAGGATTCAGCCAAGACTTAACTATGTCAAAAACCAAGGACTAGACTAGAACTCAAGTCAGACTACAGCAGGTCTAAAGGACTAAACCAAGACCACTCAACCTGATCTAAACAAAATATTAAACAAAACGAAGCTCATTTGAATGCACACACTGTTCCACGGAAAAACGTGTACAGGGAAACCAAGTCGAAACCAGGACTAAACCAGGTCTAAACCAGGACTAAACCAGGACTAGATCAGGACTACAAACAGGTCTAAACTCATAAAGAAAACAAATTAACCATCACTGACCCAAGACAAATTACAATATCCAAAACAGTACAAGATAAACCGGAACTAAACCAGGTCTAAACCAGGTCTACTCTAAACAAGGACTAAATCAGAATTTAGTAGTACTAAACCAGGACTAAACCAGGTCTAAACCAGGTCTACTCTAAACAAGGACTAAATCAGAACTTAGTAGTACTAAACCAGGACTAAACCAGGTCTAAATGAGTCTAAACCCTAGTGTGTTCCATAGAAGAGACTAGTTAACCACAACTGAACCAAGACAACATCAAAAGAATACAGAAACAGGCCTGAACCGGGACTAAACCAGGTCTAAACAAGGACTAAACCAGATCTAACTGAGGACTGAACAAGGATTAAATCAGAACTTAACAAGAACCAAATCAGAACTAAAACCAGGTTCAATAGTCCAAGTCAAAGCGTGTTCCATTGATTTAAAGATTTTACTGAATCACAAACAGGTCTGAACAGGTACTAAACCAGGTCTAAACAAGGACTCAACCAGATCTAAACCAGAACTGAACAAAGACTAAATCAGAACTTACCAAGAACTAAACCAAGACTAAAACTAAGTCATCTGAGTGCAGTTGTGTTCCTTAGATTGAACCAAGATTTCTTTACTGAATCACAACTCAGGTCTGGACCGGGACTAAACCAGGTCTAACAAGGACTCAACCAGGTCTAACTCAGGACTGAAGAAGGACTAAATCATAACTTTATGTAAACTAAACCAGGACTAAAACCAGGTCTAACAGTCTAAGTCTAAGTCATCTGAGTGCAAGTGTGTTCCATGGTTTTAACTAATTAATCAAGACTAAGTCGTAAACAGGTCTACACTGGGACTAAACCAGGTCTAAACAAGGACCCAACCAGGTCTAACTCAGGACTGAACAAGGACTAAATAAGAACTTAATGAGAACTAAACCAAGACTAAAACCAGGTCTAACAATCTAAGTGATCTGTGTTCCATAAAATTTAACTAAGTCTTCTTTACTAAATCACAAACAGATCTGAACCGGGACTAAACCAGGTCTAAATAAGGACTAAACAAGGACTGAACCAAGTCTAATTTAGGACTGAACAAGGACTAAATCAGAACTTTGCGAGAACTAAACCAGGATTAAAACCAGGTCCAAAAGTCTAAATCAAAGCATGTTCAATGGATTTATCTAGTTCAGTAAAGATTTCTTCACTGAATCACAAACAGGTCTGAACCGGGACTAAACCAGGTCTAAACAAGGCCTCAACCAGGTCTAAATAAAGACTAAACAAGGACTGAACCAAGTCTAACTTGGGACTGACCAAGGACTAAATCAGAACTTTATGAGAACTAAACCAGGACTAAAACCAAATAATCTGAGTGTGTGTTCCATGCAATTAATCTTCTTTACTGAATCACAAACAGGTCTATATCTGGACTAAACCAGATCTAAACAGGGACTAAACAAGGACTCAACCAGGTCTAAACAAGGACTAAACAAGGACTCAACCAGGTCTAAACAAGGACTAAACAAGGACTCAACCAGGTCTAAACAAGGACTAAACCAGGTCTAACTCAGAACTGAACAAGGACTAAATCAGAACTTAACAAGAACTAAACCAGGACTAAAACCAAGTCATCTGAGTGCAAGTGTGTTCTATAGATTTAACCAAGACTTCTTTACTGAATCACAGACAGGTCTACATCTGGACTAAACCAGGTCTAAACAAGGACTCAGCAAGGTCTAACTCAGGACTTAACCAGGACTAAAACCAGGTAGTAGCAGCACTCCAAAACCACAAACCTAACACGAGTTTGTCTCTAAACAAGTCCCACACGCAGTATAATGAGAGGTAAATACATTCCATTTCTCGCCTTGTATCTGGTGCAGGTCTCACATGTTCCTGTATGTCGTTTTTTAGGTCAGTGGTGACGCGGCGGGGGACGTTTCGACGCTCCAAAACGTATCGACAAATATATAGGTCACTTTCGGTCTCTCACTGTACACAATAACACCCCTGATGCACGTCTGCGCTCCCATATGCGCGCTCGTACACTGCAAAAACGTGAAAACGCACCGTGCAGCTTCACCGGCGGAGGGTGCGCTCCAAGGAGGCTCGTCTCCATGGAGATGCGAACGCTTTGCCGGGAATGTTCCACAGCGTTGCATCAAATGTTTCTTTAGCTCAAAAAACACCTCGAAAAACAACATGGGTTCTTAGTTTAAGCGCAGTCCACTGATCTGACCTCGTCTCCGTAGAGATGTTATTAGATTAAAGACACTGCGGGACATTCTGAGCAGTTCAAGTCAGTATTTACGTTGAGACAAGCAGGCTACCAGAAAAGTTACTCAGTGCAGCTTTAACTTAATGCTTCAGGATCATCAGAAGCTTTGATTTGTAATGGTGTAAGTTTCTAATTCCTTTAATAATAATGTAATAAATGTGTTTTTTCTATATTTTGTTGCAGTAAAACTTGTTCCAATTTAAGACATACTTAAAATTACACTTAAAACTTTTTTATGTTGATTATTAATGTTCTTATTTGTTTGTATTGCGATTTTAATGTCTTTCTTTCTTTCTTTCTTTCTTTGTGTACGAAATGTGCTATACAAATAAACTTGCCTTGCCTACTTTTCTATTTTTGCAGTGTATGACATAATAAAAGAACTAATGCTGACGAGCCAACTTATTTTTCTTATCAATTAATCCATTTAAATTCATTATTTAAATTAGAATACACGTTTCAAATCTATTTTTCTCATGTAAATAACAATCTATTTCCAGCAGAGCCACATTTATATTGTGAAATATTGAAACTTTGAAAGGAAATCAAAAACCACAACAAGATAAACAACACAGGTTAAAATTTACACTTCAAAACAAGCTCTCGGAATCCAAAAGCAAAAACGAAATCATGCAGCAGACTTTTAAACATGCATATTAAACATTACGCTTCTGAATTTAAGTTGTTTAAAGTTATAAAAATGCAACTAAAACCACATAATAATCAGCCAGAGTTTGTTTTGTTATTACAATAAAAGTCACATAAAACAAAGCAAAATGCGTTCTTATACTTTCATCAATATATGAAAAAAATTTATATAAATAAAAACGCTAATATATATTTTGTAGTACATTTTTTTCATGTATTTATTTTAATTTATTTATTTTGTTTAAAGCCATGCAGTATCGTAATAGAAATACAACAAAAATACGTTGTTATTCACCATGCAGCACTCGTAATCAAATTAAAAATAACGCGTTTTTTTCTGAATGAGCCACCTGTAAGAATCCCAAACTGTCAAAACAACAACGAAAGCGAGAAATGGCGCCGTCTATTGGGGGAAAATATTACGACAACTGTTTATAGCGTTTCAATTAAACACGCACCAATTGTCCAAGTTAAAACGCAACGCAAAACGTGCAAAAAAACGCGTTTGGGGATGAAAATTTTTGCATTTCCGGTCAAATTATGAAAATCAAACAGGGTCCGGTCATCTGTCAATCACTGAACCCGAACTAATGCGATTATGATCATTATTTAGCAAAAATTAATTTAAAATAAAAAATACGCTAAATTTATCCACAGGTAAGTTTTGAAGCAGAAAACATTTTTTGGTAATGGAATAAAAAAAAAAAAAAAATAAATTAATTAAAAAAATAGCGTGGAGAGACAGCGCGGATTAGGTGCGTATCAGCCGCGTGTCAGAAGCGAATCGAGCACTGCCTGGACGTTGGACTTACCGTCATCGTGGTGGAAAGGCAGCTTCAGCGGGTTCTCCAGGAGCGATTTGAGCACGCCGTGGGTCGGGGGCAGGTACCCGGGGTTTAGAGGAAGAGGTCTGGCCATTTTCTCCATAAGTCAGCGAGGACAACCGGTGAAGAAAGCTCGCCAAAAGACTCAGGGACCCAAACGTTAAAAAAAAAAAAAAAACACCCAAAAAACCCAATTCCTCCGTGAAAGTGTGTCCGCGAACCGTGAAGCGTCGCCGGCCCCGATGCAGGAGGTGTTGACGGTGCTCCTGGATGGTCTGACAGGCTGGTTCGCTCTGAGGGAGACGCGAGCGAGAGGAGCTTTGGAGCGGAGAGAGGCGCGGAGAGGGGAGGGCCCGGCCGCGCGGAGGAGGAGCGCGCCGAGCGGGGAAAAGAAAGCTAGAGCGGTCGTCGCCATGGTAACCGGTATTACAGTAACCAGCGTCCAGCACCGGCGGCCATGTTTTTACTGCATCATAACGAACGCTCACAAACTCGATCTAATTCATCGTGGGTTTCAAATATATCGGCCTATAATTTTTTGATTCATTCATTTCATTCAAAACGATATCATATTTTTGTTTTAAATGATGTAACATTTTGAAATTCATATATGGCCATACTAACGTCATGTGTTTCAGGATCCATTTTGAAGACGAAAAAAAGATTAAAAAGATATAGTCTGACTAAATCGTCGTTTTATATCGTGAATCGCCATGGCAACAGGCTTTATTATTTATCATTCTGAAACCCATGGACATCCTACTAACTAATGTACGTTCGCAATAGATGTGCTTCTGGTTATTGTTATTTGCGACATTTTGATAACAGAATTTTTTTGTTTTCAATTGTTAGTCACTATGGCCACAGTTCTATTTTTATGTTTTTTTTTATTTTTTTATTTTTTTTAATCATTATGGACCTATACTAATTCATCAGCTTCATGTTATGTACAACATTTTGAGGACGTTTTCCTATTAAAAAGATATAATATTTTGTTTTTAGTTGTTAATCGCTATGGCAACAATCCTAATTTGTCATCATTCTAAAACCCATGGACTTTTTTGTAAATACTTTAAATAATTTAATAATTTGACTTTCTAATTGGCATTTTGTACTTGATCTATTTCCCAGTCTCTATCAGACTAATGTGAAAATATTTTTTGAAAACATATTTAAAATTTTAGGTAATAAATATTTGTTTTATTGTCAAAAATGCGAACGAAAACAGAATTATTTTCAACTGTTGTGTTCATATGGAGTAATAAAACAGTTCAATTACTTAAAATAGGCTTTAATTTTTATAATTGAGAGATACGTGTAGCGTTTCCTGCGTAATTAGAACCATAAATATAGCAACATGTATATTTTCTGGAGCTTTTTACATTATTTTCTGTTAGAATTCTCTTGTTTCTACAGTCACAAGATGGTCGCCGCGATCGCCACTGCAGTGAGCAACAGTCTCCCGCGTCGCTCTCGTTTTCTTCACACTCCTCGAAGCGCACAACTCGGTCCATGTGCAGAGACGGGTGCTGCTGACGTCAAAGGGAGGGGGGGCGGGGTTTAGGGCAGAGTGAGGCGTTCACGGCGTGTGGGAAGAACAGCACAAGGCTCAGGGAATGCGTGTGCACTTCAGGGAGGGTGGGAGAAAAGAAAATGATACGGGAATAAAGGAGTTTCTACGTGGTAACAGTAGAGTTTGTTTTTTATTGTTTAAATGAAATCTGGCAGGTGAAATGACAATATTGACAATTTGAGAAGTTTACTGAATTGTCCCTAAAAGAAATATCAGATTAAATGATTTTGACTATCTGTGTAAAAATGTTAAAACTGCACTGCGTGACTTTTCTGGTGAAGGGTCCTGCACCTGTTTGTCTCCAAGGAAACGTTATTGCTTTGACTCTAGAATGTTCCACAGTAGATTAAATCTGTTTATCACGAGCGAGACGCAAGCAGGTGACAGCGCTACACTGCATTACAGCTCGCATCTGTGGAGACGCGACCCTGTTCTCAGAAAGAATTGTCGTATTTTTGAGCATTAGAAACATCTTTAATGAATAAATGCTAAAGGGATGTGTTCAATGTCATATTACGGAACATTCTAGAGAAAGTAATAACATTTCAGTGGAGACGAGTAGAAAAGTAGAGAGAGGGACAATTGTAAAACAGGGGCAGACAGGAGTAGACAGGAGCAGGCAGGTGCTGACAGGTGCAAACAGGAGAAGACAGGTGCAGAGCCAGAGGAGCAGACAGGTGAAGACAGGAGGAGACAGGTGCAGAGGTGGAGGTGCAGACAGGTGCTGACAGGGGCAGACAGGAGTAGACAGGTGCAGAGGTGGAGGTGCTGACAGGACAGGTGGACAGGAGAAGGCAGGTGCTGACAGGTGAAGACAGGAGGAGACAGGTGCAGAGGTGGAGGTGCTGACAGGAGGAGACAGGTGGCAGACAGGAGGAGACAGGTGCAGGAGGAGACAGGACAGGAGGAGACAGGTGCAGACAGGAGGAGACAGGGGCAGACAGGAGGAGACAGGTGCAGACAGGAGGAGACAGGGGCTGACAGGAGGAGACAGGTCATCTGATCAGACAGTTAGAGGGATGTGTTTAATGTCATACTGTGGAACATTCTAGAGAAAGTAATAACATCTCTGTGGAGACAAGTAGAAAAGTAGAGAGAGAGAGAGAGGAACTGCAAAACTATTTTACCAAATCACTTATTGATCAGTTTAGTCTCAATCGATAGCCCGTGTTTTGCATTTTCCAAAATAGAATCATTATTTTGGAGAAACACACAGAAACAATAGAAACACAAAGTTTGGAAGCACAGACAGGAGCAAAACATGAGGAGAGATCATACACTTTGTCAACCAAGAAAAGAAAAAAAAAAATATAATGATTTCACTCTTTTTTTCTGGAAATCAGCAAGTTTTGGCATATTTGAAACTAAACTAAAATTCTTAAAAATTGTATTTTCAAATTCAGACATTATAGGCTGTTATCCAAGTTCAGAAAGTTTATTGTCAATTCTTCAAACAAAAAACATTATAAAGAATAGAAATTGTGTTTCTCACTCCCATGTGTGTAAATAAATAATAATAAAAGTCCAACTGTTCTTCTTTAGGGAGACACAGATTCCTGCTTCCTGGTCGCCTGGTGGTTAAAGAGGGGAAAGAGTTCAGCATCCTAACAGCCTGAAGGATGAAGCTGTTAGTGAGTCTGGTGGTGCAGGAACAGAAACTCCTGTCTTGCATCACTCATAGTTGTGATGCAGTCCCACAAACTAAATATGAGTGTAAAGTAAAATATACAAATTAATGATATTTGCCTATCATACATCATTTGTGCTGTATATTTTATTTGGCATTTATAAAAAACATTTTAAACAGCCTAAATTTGTGGATGCTGTCTAATCTCATGCACTTTTTAGACAATTCCTTTCCGCTTCTCTGTGTTTAATGGAGTTTAAGAAAGCGAACGTCCATCCTGCAGGATTTGTGGGCAGGAGTGGGCCAAAATATTGCTGATGCGGGTGGGAGTGGGAATGAAAATTATTATTTTTTGCAGGCGGGAGCGGGACTGAAAATTCTCTCCTGTGATGTATATGTGGGTGAGGTGGGTGGTGTATATGTGGGTGAGGTGGGTGGTGTATATTTTATTAAGTCGTTCTAAATGAATTTTGTGATTTAAAATGTGCAAATTAAGACACAAGTACAATATTTCTGTTTTAAAATGTCCAAAACTCAAAATTTTGCTTTTTAAACGTGTGAAAAGTTTCTATACATCGAATAATTTGACGGACAGTTAAAGATTTACATTGGTATTTGAAAATGATAAAAATGTTCCTCTTCGAGTCTGGAGACAAAATGTTCAGAGAAAGTTTGGCCCTTTGGCAAGACACTCCCCAAAATCACCTCAAATTAGATTTAAACGAGTTTTTGAAGACCTGTCAGAACTGTTCAAGTTATCACTGCCCCAGGACCAACAGACAGGAGCAGACAGGAGCTGAACTAGAGGAACTGACAGGTGCAGACAGGGGCAGACAGGAGCAGAACTGGGGGAACTGACAGGGGCAGACAGGACCAGAGCTAAAGGAGTAGGCAGGTGTAGACAGGAGCGGGGCAGACAGGAGCAGAACCAGAGGAGGAGACAGGGACAGACAGGTGCAGAGCTAGATGAGTAGACAGGAGGAGTCAGGTGCCGAGGTGGAGGTGCTGACAGGTGCTGACAGGGACAGACTGGTGAAGACAGAAAGAGACAGGTGCAGACGTGAAGCTGCAGACAGGTGCTGAGAGGGGCAGACAGGAGTAGACAGGTGTAGAGGTGGAGGAGCAGACAGATGTAGACAGGGGCAGACAGGTGCAGACAGGAGAAGACAGGTGACAGGTGAACAGCAGACAGGAGGAGACAGGTGCAGACAGGAGGAGACAGGTGCAGACAGGAGGAGACAGGTGCAGACAGGAGGAGACAGGTGCACAGGTGGAATAGCAGACAGGAGAAGACAGGTGCAGACAGGAGGAGACAGGTGCAGACAGGAGGAGACAGGTGCAGACAGGAGGAGACAGGTGCAGACAGGAGGAGACAGGTGCAGACAGGAGGAGACAGGTGACAGGATGCAGACAGGAGGAGACAGGTGCAGACAGGAGGAAGACAGGTGCAGACAGGAGGAGAGACAGGTGCAGACAGGAGGAGACAGGTGCAGACAGGAGGAGACAGGTGCAGACAGGAGGAGACAGGTGCAGACAGGTGGAATAGCAGACAGGAGGAGACAGGTGCAGACAGGAGGAGACAGAGGTGACAGGTGGGAATAGCAGACAGGAGGAGACAGGTGCAGACAGGAGGAGACAGGTGCAGACAGGAGGAGACAGGTGCAGACAGGAGGAGACAGGTGCAGACAGGAGGACAGGTGCAGACAGGAGGAGACAGGTGCAGACAGAGGAGACAGGTGACAGGTGCAGACAGGAGAGACAGGTGACAGGAGGAGGACAGGTGAGACAGGAGGAGACAGGTGCAGACAGGAGGAGACAGGTGCAAACAGGAGGAGACAGATGCAGAGGTGGAATAGCAGACAGGTGCAGACAGGAGGAGACAGGTGCGCTGATCTGAGAGCTGCTGATCTAACCTCAGCTCAGACTCGTTCCTTATTGTCTTTGTGTTCTTGGGCAAAACACTTTTCCCTCCCCGTGTGTCTGTGTCTGTGTCTGTGTCCAATGCAAATCAGAGACTGGAAATGTGCCCAGACGTGAGTGTTTGAACCTGCACCGTGCCCACAAAACAAACAGCTCCCGGCAGCTGCGAGTGCGGCTCAGGTCCGAGTC